TCCAAGGACCAGGGATAGGCAGATGTTGTTTGATGATGTTATCATCATCATCATCATCATCATCATCATCATCATCATCATCATTATTATTATCATCATCATCTACTACTACTAGTAGTAACTACTTGGTTTTATGGTTTGTGGTTTTTATAATTCTGGGTTTTATTGTGGTTGTGAACCACCCAGAGTTGTGTTTTAAGATGGGCAGCCATACAAATTAAGTAAGTAAGTATCAGTTTTCACGCTAATTCCCATATCTTCTGTCTCAGCTAACAACCTGGTCTTATGAATTTGCAGTGAGCGTATCTCCCTTGGGGCTTTCTAAGCAAACAGTCTCTCCCCATTTTTCCTTTGTTAGTTCACCAACTGTGAACAGAATTAGGAAAAGAAAAAGAGAGATCTTAACAGTCCCAGTTTCATTTCTCCTTTTTCTCCAAAACAATTCTTGAAGGCATCTTTGGAACAATATCTTACTTAAAAATGTCTTTGGAACTAAAAAGATTTGACCAGCTGGACTTCACTAGGAATGTTAAAGCTGTTTAAACACCCAGCAGTCACAGTTTATTCAAGGCTTGTATTTGTTTTCCTGTATGGATCATGCAGAGGTGGGTGGAAAATGTGGAAATTCTGCCTCAAAGGTAATTATTTTTCCACTCCAGATCTTACAACTGTGTATATTCTCTCTCCTTTCTTCACTGGCAATTTGTCACAGAGTTTTTATATGGAGGTTCATGGATTATTTTTGTGACCAGAGCCTACTTTTATCGTCTTTTCACACTTTTAATTCATTTTATCTATGTGGTGAATGTTTAAACTCCTTTTCAGCAGGATAAATTGTCCTCTCAAAGCAGTTGATATTAATCAGTGAAACAACAGGAAGGCATATTTAAAAGTATATTGAAATGATAGCACTATAATGATACATAGCAAGATTAATGACTTGCTATATAATACTTAAGTTATATTCTGATTATACAAAAATAACATGAAAGTAAAGATTACTCAAATTCAAGCTTTCTCTTCTTTTTAGCTTTCATCCTGAAAACTCTGACAACTGTTTTTCCTTGATTTCCATCTGTTTTTGTGTGTACTACTCCAGAATTGTTTGCCTTGTCAAAGGTTCATACAGTGAAACTTAGCTTTAACAGATCGAGAGATCTGTGCCTATTATTGCTGGTTGTTTAATCAGAGAACATATCATCTGCCAAGATGTCATTATGCAAATGACATCATTTTGCATCATTTGTGTAACCGCATCATTATACAAATTACATATAGGCAAGGGAAACAATATCCCTTGCATCAAGATCCACCGTATTCAGGATTCTGGGTTGACAAAAAGGCAAGACCTGCAAACATACCTCCTGTTTGGATTACAGCTCCCTGAATTTTCTTCCTAGCACATTTGGATGGTAGCAGATAGAGGAAGGCTATTTTGTTTATTTATGTAATATTATGTTACCTATGTTAAGGAATTATTAAGAAGAAACCAGGAATTGGCAACTACTTTAGGAAGATAGCACTAGGTGTCCACTTATCTCATTTGCTCTGCTCAGAACTTTAGGGTTGAGTGTGTAGGGCTCTGACCACCAAAACATTCATCTAGTGTTTATCTCTGTCTACCTTTAGAACTCCTACCAGGTCCTGGCTGGCTTATCTGACGGGTTGATTGCAGTTTTCCAAGTCACAAGCGGCGTCCTCGAGGACAACTGCTGCTATCTTTGCTCCCACACGGCAAACCGTTCCTTGTTCAATATCAGCGATGAGGACACCCGCCAGAATCCTTACTCTGTGAAAGCAATGGAATTGGTTAACAATGGGACAGAGGTCTGGTACAGCAATGGCCCTGGCGTCCTCATCGTAGACACTGCAGCCATGGAAATCACCAGGCGACTGGAGCCCTACAGTCCACCATCCACGGTGGTATCCATTGTCTGCAGCTCAGATTGCAATGGGGAAGAAGTGGCCTGGTGTTTAGATGATACCACCAACTTCCTGGTGATGTACTACACCTCTACCTACCAGCTCTGTGCCCGGTACTTCTGTGGGGATCGTAGCCCCCTGAGGGACATGTTTACGATTCAACAACCCTCAGCCTTGATTCCTACAACACTAACTGCAAACAGGGATGTGACTCCTGAAAGCACCTCTTTGGCCAATGTGAGCATCCTGCAGAGCCAGGAGCTCGGCACTCAAATACTAAACAATCAGGACTCCCTGACAGACTACTGCTCTATGTCCTCTTACTCGCCGTCATCTCCCAACAGAATGCTGAGATCTTCTTCAAGCTTCCCAAGCTCGCCCGCGAGTTCCTCCAGCACACCTTTCTTGACTGATTACGAGGAGTCCAACAAGCTTGAGGAGCCAAGCCTTCCCTCTGAGAAGTCTGAAATGGGTCTCCAAGCTGTGCAGATCCTGCCTGTGAAAGATCTCCTGTGGATTCCCAGGTAAATTGTGTTGGGAGCCACTGTGAGCACAGTTTTTAGAGCTCACTTGAATTGGGAGCTGTGCTAGTTGTTTAGATGTTCTCATGCTTCCAGATAAATTGCATTGGGAAATCATGTGAAAGTTTCAACACACAGCTAAATTGCATTTCGAGCCATAGCAGTTACTTGAAAGTCCTCATATTCTCAGATAATTGTGTTGGGAATCACAGGGAAATTTAATTGAAAAACTGCCTATCCCCTTCCTTCACTATGTAAAGGTTTTAATGCGGTGATATTGTTTTCAAATTCCCATCCTGACATTCTCACAGACCAAGGAGCAGAGCAATACTAATATTCAAGGTTTTGTGCCACAAAATATGGCCGTGGCCAGTGATCCAGATTAGGCAAATTCTTTAAAAAGATTATATAAATCTATGGTTCTTTCTCTCAATGACTACTGAATCCTGATTGTTGGAGAACATCCATGGGAAAAGGCTATTCTTTCATGCCCCACTTTTGGGTCCTGTATAAGTATCTAGTTGCTCACTTTGGGGAACAAGATGGTAGAGTAAATGGAGTCTTGATCTGATCCTTCCATTATTAATGGTTGAGTTAATCATTGGAGAAGAGAAAAAGATAAACCATGAAACTGGAAATTCCCAGTTAAAATCTTGACTCTTTTACAAACTCACTAGCTTTGACTCTTCCCGCCTAGTTTCCTTCGGATGTGTCCCAAAGTCCACAGCCAGCTTGTTTCTCCATTCTAGGCAAGGTGGTGATATCATTGTGATTGGCCTGGAGAAGGAATCCATCTCTCAGCGGGGGAGAGTCATCGCTGTGCTGAAGGCTGTTGAGTTGGCCTCCTATGGGTAAGGGGGAATTGAAAAGAAAGTGATGTTGGGAGTGACTGGTCCACAGTAAAACAATTAATTTTAGGCAGGTAAAGGAAAAGGCTGTTCAACAAGGATCATGTTCTGCACCCAAGTCAAAACTTAAGCTAAACTTAACTTCATAGCAAGTTATGATAGAAAATGTATATATCATGCTAAAAACTTGGAACAACTTGAACTCCTTCTGGTTTGGAGAATTTACTTCCAGAAACCCACCACCTCTCCTCACCCCCCTCATACAGCATGATGCAAGATTTGGAGGAGGCTTGACATGGTCCAGAAGAAAACAGAACATTCTAGGGTTCTCTGAAATGGTCCATTCCTAGACTGACAAATTTTGCATATCCATACTAAAAACAGTACATTTCTAAACACAGTTGATTCAGTTCTATGCCAAGGAAAGTAATCTGAGAGCTAGATACATTATGCAAGTTGTTTATTGTTATCACTCTGCATAATTTATTCTGGATTTTTAAATTGGTATAATTTAGGAGTAGGCAACAATGGACATTTGGATGTTTGGACCGTAAGACCCCATCAATTCCTGTGGAGCTGCAATTTATGGGAATTATCTAAACCTTTTTGAGGATATCAGGTTGCTTATTCCAGGAATATACTGTAAATTAGTTAATCATCATGAGATGCAAAGATGTGCCATTTAGACATTAAAGCAGGCCTATTTCTATGCAATAGCTACTATTACAAAGAAATTTTCATTTATAAATCAATCAATCACTCAATCAGTGTTTTATTTTTCAGGTCGCTGGTTGATGCTGCTGTTCTGGCCAAAGACAGGGTTGTATGTTGCTTCAGAAATGAGTTGATGGAATGGTGCTTGGCTCTCTGGAGGAGTTGGGGAGCCAAAGACTTTGACCTTTTCTACCAATCCCAAGAAGATTTGGGGAGGCTTGAAATTTGCCTGCGCAAGAGAAGGTAGTGCCTGTCGATCAGAGGCAACAGCCAGAAAACTGACACCGTTTTATTTCTTTAAAATATCCAAACTAGAATGTTTATAAAAAGGGAGTGGTTGCTCCTTGGTTCTGCTGCTAAAGGAAACCTAGGTGGGCTTGTTCCCCTTCATGCATCTGAATTCTCAGCCACATAATTGTCAAACAAATGTCCACACCCTTCTTCCAATCAGGTGCAATGTGCAAAGCCAACCAATGCCAGCTCTGCAGGGTCACTGTAATGCTGTTTTGTTTTGTAGCCTGTTGCTAACACAGCCCTTTAGAAGTGTTATCTTCTAGGAGAGAATATGACCAACAAGTGCATCTCAGCTTCCATTCTAGCGAAAGACTGCAGGGGAAGACAGGGAGGACTGGAGTCCAATTATGGTTGCAGGTCATTTCTGTATGAAATTCTCCAGCTTACAGTATGAATAGAACTATACCAGGTTAAATGAGGTTGTATGACGAATGTCTTATTCTGGTGGAAAGGGGCTTCATGTTTCTTACTCTTCTATGTTAAACCCAGTATATTTGAGAATACACTTACAAAACGTGCAAGCTCTCAATTCCACAGAAGCAAAGTGTCCGTAAAGTTTTGAGGTTGGTCCCAAATGAATACAAGGTAATTTTAAATCATTTAGGGATCAGGGACTTAATTGTGACTAATGTGTTTCATTGATTTCAGAGGTCCTTAAATATAGCCCTCTTTTTTTATATATATATTATGGCCCAATGTCTTGAGAACCCAGGCAGGTTTTTTTGTGTTGTTATTACTTTATCGTCATCATTTCAGCATTACCAGGCCCGGCCAGCACACAAAAGAAGCATATCATGTATATTTTATGAACATATTGACAATTGGAAAGAGTCTTTTTGAGATCATTTTTCCAACAGAAGGATTTTTTTTTAAGTTAGAAAATGCATTCTGATCTAACTGTGGGTTGTTTGTTATATGTTAGCTCTTCTGATTCCTACTGCAGTTTTACTATGAAGCTCTTAACAGTCCCTAACTCACCATTCTTAGTTAACTCTCAACTCCTATTTTGACTGGGAGAAAAAAGTAATTTTCATATTTAACTGCTCTGTTGCAACATTCATAGAAGCCTGGTTTCATACCTTCATCTGGCTTCATCCAACTCCTTATATGGCTGCAGAAGCTTAGGAAGAAAGATAGGGCAGACAGATCAATTTTCCTTCAGACAGTTCCTGGTCATATTTTCCTCCTAAACCGTCTCTCTTAAAAGCAGTAATTAAAAACGGAGCACCATGGAGTGTTTCTCTTGCTAAAGTGTAGGAACCAAGCTAAATAGGCCTCATCATGAATGCTCTTCTTACCATTCCTGTAGTCCACAGTTGGGGAAAACAATGGCCCTCCAGATTGTTGAACTACCATTCCCAGTTCAGAATGGCCATCTGTCCCTGGGGAGAAAATGTCACAGAGACAGAGAACGTGATGCAGGGCTGCTGTTCTTTGAGGTAGCCCTGAGCATTATTCAAACTATGTATTTGCACTAACTCTTGGTGTCCTTCTGCAACCCACAAATAGAGATCGTTGCTGGCTTTATACATATTACCATATTTTATGTAACCCTTTGAAATATGTTCATATAAAAGCCACCAGGGCTATGTTTTGGCAAATATAAAATGAACCTTTTTGTGAATGCATGGATCGATGTTTTTTTTTAAAGCCATCCTAATTAAAAAAATGTTTATTGCAGTGTCAGTGTTTTGAGACCTTACTGAAAATTTGGAGTTCTGTGTGGTATATATAGCATTTGGGAGCTTATTGTTAGACTTTAGGTGCTGCCTGCTTTTCAGTTACCTTATTCCAAAACAACATGTTTCTCAAAACAGAGTACTTCACCCAAGAATTGCAGGACGTAACTCAGACATTTAGTTGGTAGGTGATGCTACCATCTGCTGAAGGTGTCATGGCACTTTCTAGCTCAACTTGAGATTTGTCACAGGAGGCTGAAATGAGCTTTATCAGCAAGCTGTTGGCTTGAAAGCAAAGCAGCCTTGCCATTTCTTTGACATTTGCACATTTTTTTAAAAAAATGTGAACAAGTACATGCCCATTTTGAAGGAAGATAATTGGTAAATAAGGTACTAAAATTCCAGCAGCTTTAATGGATGGTGTGATTGGTGCTGGAGTAATAAAACAAATAACATGACAATTTAAAAAAAAAAACCCTTCTAGATGTTTCTAAGAATGAGAAGAAACTTCTGACAGTAGCATGGGAAATTATTTCACTGTTCTCTCTATACTTCAACAAATTATCAGTTTTAGATATTAGCATTACACAGATATTATCCTTCTGTTGATAACCAAATATAGCAGGATGCAACCAGGACATCCTTGCATTGTAAGCTAGACTGAAAAGTTAGCAAAACATGCTGGAAGACAATAATAGTAAACCACTCCTCTATTGTCACCAATAAAACAACTTGGACGCATTCGTTGACTGACTGAAATGAACAGAACTTGTTAATTATGTGCCTCATTGATTTAAATGGACCAAATTTCAACCCAGCTTATGGCTTTCAGGGGAAGTAGACTGCTGTTCCTCAAACCAGGTGAGATGGCAGTGGGTTGCTCCCCAGCTTTCTCTCCAATGTGTTTATAATATTTGTAAATTCTTTTAATTAAAGCAGCAGTCCTGCATGGAAGCTGGTAGGTTGCAAAACAGAGTGGGGCAGACATCTAAGGAAAACACCATCTTACACCACCTGCCTGGTAAAAGAAAGACAAAATTCAAGTTGATAGTGGGATCTCCATGTTAGTTTCACTCATCTTGAGCTTATGAAGGAACAAGGCTCTATGAAGAAGTGTTGGGGATTGAGAAAAGTGTGTAGGAAAGCAGCAGGGTTTAACACAACGTACTCAGCCAAAATGCACTCTGCTTCTTGGCTTAATATGTTACATGACCATAACAGTTGAGGTTTGCGAACTATGGCCTATGGGTATGTGTGATCCATGCTTTTAGTGGCTTCTTCAGAATATATTATAATTAAGCAATCTGAGAATAGCCAAGATGTCAAACAAATGGATTACTGAATACTGTAAATCAATCCAGAGTTCTCATCTGAGGCACAAATGACCAGGCTCAAATTATCATACTTTGGACACACGTGAAAATCTCGCTCTCTAGAAAAGTATATAATGCTGGGAAAGAGAATATGACCAGCAGTAAAGTGGATGGACTCAATTACAACAGTGATGGGTGCATTGTTGGAAGACCTGAAGAACCAGATTGACAACAGATCCTCCTGAAGAAAACCCATCTCTGTGGTCACTAAGAGTGGACTCCAACTTGCTGGTACATAATTAAATCAATCAAGGCAAATTGTAGCTTGCCAGTATTTGATTCCCAACTAGTAAAGGAGTTAAAATAACACAACAAACTCATTGCAGACTAACAGTGGCTTATTTCAAGCAGAATTTCCTTTTTCCCGGGACTGTAGAAACAGAAGTGATTATACTGGTAGACTCCTGTGTGCTTTTCTTGATGAGTGAGCCTGTGTTAATCATGAAGAATGCATATTATGCAGTCAGGACTCCAGTTGGAACAGATGTTTTCCACACCGGAGAAATAGAGTGCAGGGCAAAGTGACATTCCCTACACAAGGCAGAAGATAAATCTCCAAGATATTCACAGCTGGGTTCCCGCCACACTTAACCAGACTGATACAGCTGCACACCCTTCCTGGTTGGATTCATTTTTTAATTGATTCTTATTTTCTTTACAATATTCATAGACTGTCTAAATTGTACAGACTAATCTAGTCATCAGTCCATTAAAAAAATAGTTTTAAATGCTTTTGGAAAGATCAGAAAGGTAGGAACCCTGCATGTCTTCATGGACAGCACGTTCCTCAGTGCAGGGCCATCACTGAAAAGGCCTTGTCTCTAGCTTCTCTTTTTATTAATTTGTTTAAATGTTAAGCCTTATGGGTGTTTTGTTGCTTAGGCCGTGTTCTGCAAGGCTGCCTGTTTTGTTAGCTTACAATTCAGTCTATTATGAGAACCTATATTGAACTAAGTTAAGACATTGGGTTTTAGGAATCCTGGTAAGCTAAAGCACCAATCTTACAAAATCTTAAAAAAAAAAAAAAAAAAGCTGTTACTCCTGGAGCAGAAAGATGAACCAGTCTTCCCCACGCTAGTGCCATCCAGATGTGTTCCATCCAGATGGCCAGTCTTCCCCAAGCTAGTGCCATCCAGATGTGTAGGGACTGCAAAATCCAGATGTCCTTGTCCTCTCTGGGGCACCAGCTTGGAGACAATTGCTTAAGTTTGTAACACCCCTAAATCAAGACACTAGGGGGAGTCTGATCTACAGAGTAATGAAAAAACTCCAATTCCATTAGCAGCTGGATACCTACAGAACAACTGAAAGAAAACCACCAGATGAAACAATGCAAACCTTTTGCCTTTAACTGATGTTAATGAACTGATGAAGTTGACTGATGACATTTCTAAGCCACAATGACTGCTTTGGTTTTGTTTGAGTATAGTGTGAACTCATCTTCAATGACTTATTCAACAAACAATGGCTTAACATAGTATATGAATTCAATACCTCTCAAACTGCCCTAAAGTACTTCTGCATGGAGACATCACTGCTTCCCCATCCGCTCAAGCCAAGACTGAATCGTTTCAAGAATTATATAGTAGATACTAATATGAAGACACCAGGAGTTTGACCTCCTCTTGAAGATGTTACCTTTTGCTAGTTTTGCAGATGTACGCAGTTTTGTTTTAGTAAAATAAATAAAAACGCAAGTATTGAAAAGTAGCACAACTCTTGCCATTTAAAAAAATGTATCAGATTGTTAATTGTAAGTATTGTTCATATGTCTATCCCAGCCAAATGTGTTCAGAATATATGAATTGGCTTCTTGTTTTATTTCTTCACCCATCGCTTGCCTACGTTGATTTACTACCTTTATGCCAAGGCAACAAGGAGGTTTAATGTTTTGGAATGATTGAAAACAAAAAGAAGAGTCTAAATATTAACAGAGTGAATTGCTTATGAGCAATCAGTGCCTGTTTCAAGTCTGGGCTTCAGTTCACAGAGGGAAGACGTGTCATAGCATTCTTTTTAATAGATCTCCTAAAATCTCAGGGGATGAGCCCCTTTGCAGAAGAGGCATTTCCCTCCTGCATGAAACATTAGAGGAAATCCTTTTTTTTTTTTTTTAAGATACTCATCCTCTAAAAACAAAAGTACCAGAAAGAACATGGCTATCTTCACACAGCACATTAAACGTGATCAGGGGAAGGCCAAGCACATAAATTCATCCAACATACTAAACTTGATTGCATTCATGTTGGTTAGGCTTTCTTAACAGGTTGTGAGGTCATGCTGCTTAAGGTATGGTATTTGGGACTAGGAATATCCAATCTCAACCCCCCCCCAGCCTGAAAAGGGGGTAACTTTGGGCCAGTCATTATCACACTCTTCTATTTTACTGGGCGGCTGTTACAGGAAAGCGAAAGAGAAAAAAGAGCTGTATGTGCTGTCTTTGCTGCTGAAGAAAAGGCATGATGATGATGACAATGACGATGATGATACTTTAAAGGACAAAGAATTTCTCTTACACATCGTCCAGAGAAGTATTGTCCACAAGAGCAAAGCTATCCTTTGCTCTTTCCAGACGAGCAGAGGACACCATATATCATCTTCAATTCAAACACTAAAGCAGCATGATGACGTATGGGATCCACTGCGTGCCTACAAAGTCTGTGGACCTTTAGAAGTGGTGCAAACAAAATTCTGAAGGGCTATCTTCGCAGTTCTTCAAATGTCTATCAAATGCTGCCTTAGATTTGGAGGTCAGATCTGGTTACAACTGAGCAAGGTTTCTCTTATTTAATTACTGTTCACTTATTAAACTAATGGCTTTATTTAATTTGTGTGGGTGGTGTAGCACCTCAGGTGTTACAAGACAAATTTCAATCTGCTTCAAGGACATCTCTGGCAGGAAGAAGTGGAGTTGTGCAAATTTACCTTTTTTTAAGGAGGCTGGGTTTGGGTAGTGCTAAATTGTCTTTTAAACTTGTTATAGATAATGAATTTCTAGAGGATCTGAATTTGATGCCCATTTACTTATGGACGGGTAGCTTATGAACACATTTTACTGCCCCCCTCCCAATGTCTTTAGGAGTTCCTAGGTATGAACAAGAGACATGTTTTCACATTGGGACATTCTCATGTTCAGCTTCCATCCTTGTTAGAGGGAAGACAGAGTAATATCGATCCACTGAAACACATTTGCCCATGTGAAAATGAAGTATTAGAAATCAATCATGGGCAGTAAATCAGCAGCAGCAGGTCCTGGAATTCAAAGCCAACAACCACACCCTTGAGGTGAAAGCAAAAGTGATTGGTTGACTAAGCCCAAGCAAATAACATAAATATTTAAAAGGACAGTGTTAAAAATAACACAGAGCAAAAGGTGAAGTCTTACATCCATGCAGCTGTAGAACCCCATCTTGTCCTACTTGGAGAACGACAGCAGACAACTTTTCATTCGGTGATTGGTTGACTAAGCCCAAGCAAATAACATAAATATTTAAAAGGACAGTGTTAAAAATAACACAGAGCAAAAGGTGAAGTCTTACATCCATGCAGCTGTAGAACCCCATCTTGTCCTACTTGGAGAACGACAGCAGACAACTTTTCATTCGGTCAGCTGGTGTGCAGCACGTGC